GGCACATGACGTTGTCGTCGCGCCTGGAGCGCCTGGAGAAGTCCTTGCAGAAGGCCTGCAGCTTCTTCTTGGTGGCCTCCCACCAGTCCACGACGTCGGCGTCCCCGCGCTGGCGCCGCCACTGCAGCCAACGCTCGCGCAGTGCGGGAAGGAAGGCCTCGTCGCTGAGCGTGGCGGGGTCGAACTTCCAGAGTCGCTGGCCGCGGTTCGGCCGCTGGCGCGCCTCGGTGTCCAGGGCGATGTCCACGCTGATGGCGCGGTGGTCGCCGAAGGCCGCGGCGTGCAGTTGGGCCCCTCGTAGCAGCGGCGTCAGGTCCTTGGTGACGTAGACTCTGTCGAGGCGCGACGAACAGCTAGGCCCTCGGTACGTGTAGCCTACCTCGCTAGGATGCAGCCTCGTCCATGCGTCGTCGAGCTGCAGGTCCTGGATCACGTTGGCGAGGATGCGGCAGGGGTCCGCGGCGCCGGTGGTGTCCTGCGGCCTGGCGATGCAGTTCCAGTCTCCTCCAAGCACGATCGGCCCCACAGCGTCTGCCAGGAGAATCGCGAGCTGAGCTATCGAAGGTGCCTTGGTGCGGGCTCGCGCGGCCGCGATGCGCCTCCTCGACGTCGATTGCAATCGGCGCAAGTCAGTTCGGGACACGCTGCCTGTTCGGGGTACCTCACTCGGATTCCGTGGTGTAGCGGTTATCACGTCTGCTTCACACGCAGAAGGTCCCCGGTTCGATCCCGGGCGGGATCACGACCCTCCTTTTGGACTATCGGGGCGCCGTCGGCGTGAGGATAGTTTCAGATAGTGGCTGAAACTGCAGCGAGCGACGGCACATCGACTCCGTGGCGCAACGGTAGCGCGTCTGACTCCAGATCAGAAGGTTGCGTGTTCAAATCACGTCGGGGTCATGCACACGTTGCCCTGTCCTTTTTCGTTTTCTTTTCGAAGAACAGTTTGATTTATCTTTCCTCTCTCAGCATGATGACCAGTCTATGCCTCCCAATCGTCGAATGTAGCCTCGGTAGCGCAGTAGGCAGCGCGTCAGTCTCATAATCTGAAGGCCGTGAGTTCGATCCTCACCCGGGGCACATCTTTTGGTCCATTCGCCCAAAAGTGCACCTTTGCACGTTGGGATCTTCGGCGGGTGGCCTAGACACACATGTCCTCGGTTTTATAAGCATTTATTGCACATGATTGTTTAACATAGTATGAAGATAGTGATAAAAATTGATGCCATTAATAAGCAGAATACTCATTGAGAACTTAAAAGAATAAAATAGTATCGTGACAGGTTGTCTAAACTTAAAGTTTTTATTTCCCTTTTACTATACTTTACAACTTTTCTTTACGAAAAAGTAAAAATTTTAGTTACAGAAATACTGGAGTTTTGAGCACATCGTGGTTGGTTAACTTGAAGTTACTTGAAGAGTGGAGTCCCGGGTGGCAGTTGGCAGGCCTGGAGTCACTGGTGGGCTGCCCCTCTCCTGAAAAAGGAGCAACCCAGTCAGCGACGATGGACCTGCAACATACCACACGGGACTCAGAGAACATAATGGTGACAAAACAGTATTTTGCATTTTAAAAAAAAGGTAAGAATTAGAAGTGACGGTAGATACATATCAATTAAAGCAGAAAGCTGCAATAAATTAAGCATTATTATTACCAGCTAGCATTAGAAAATACTGAAAAAATACTGAAAAAATGAGGCATTAACGAATTACTGCACAAAGTAAAATTAGCAAACAAGAACTTAACTACATAAGTGCAGCTACGCAGGCAGTTGGACCGTAGTCTTGTATTGCCTAACGCCGCTCACATGCTCCACGTAGATGTCACGCGACCAGCGCAGGACATCTGAGACGGCGAGTCTGCGCAGCTTGGCCCGGGCGGCGGTTGGGATGCCGAGCATGTTGAGCGCGCCCTCGTTCTCCGGGTCCCAGGTGCCCAGCGCGCCGACCAGCAGGGCGTCGGTGGCGAGGGGTTACCCACTCCAGGAATCATGTGTACACTCAGTCCGGGAATCATTCCTAAATCTTTCAAAATTTGATGGAAAATCCTCATAGTTTCAATTTAAAGTCATGGAAACCATGTGATACACACAAAAACATTCAAATACAAAGAAAATTTTCGAAAGTTCTCTCTTTTTCTCAGAGATATGTTCTGGGAATCGCGGGAATCCGGAATCGTGTGTACACTAAAGCAACGAGTGGGTAACCCCTCGGTCGGTGGCCACACTGAAGCCGCGCTGCTGGAGGTGGAGGGCGAGGTGCTCGTATCCGGTGCTCGTATCGTGGTCAGTATCCCCGCCTGTCACGCGGGAGACCGGGGTTCGATTCCCCGCCGGGGAGGCAGTCTCTCTTATGGTGCCTTTCGAACGAGTCTCATTTTACAACGACGAGCAAAAGAGATGATGGCCCATGGGGGGATCGAACCCACGACCTTCGCGTTATTAGCACGACGCTCTAACCAACTGAGCTAATGGGCCAGATGGAGAGGTGCGGCCACGGCGGAGATGATGTGATCATGTGAGAAGGGACGGGCCGAGCGCACGGAACGCCACGTTATCGGCAAGCCGTGTCACCAGCCTGCACATGAGCCGAAATAGCTCAGTTGGGAGAGCGTTAGACTGAAGATCTAAATGTCCCCGGTTCAACCCCGGGTTTCGGCAGCCCTTCTTTTCCTTTTCGTTTTCCGTTCCCCGGCCTATCGTTCCAACCACCTATTTTGTTTTAAATGAAAGAAAAATATTTGGGCCCGGGTAGAGAAAAAAAGAAAGGTGGGGGACTGCCGTGACCAGGATTCGAACCTGGGATATCGCGGCCACAACGCGAGGTACTAACCACTATACGATCACGGCTGTCCCGTCCACATGCTGAGCCCCGGCCACGCAGAGCTTCTGTATTATCAACGAGGCAACCTGACGACGACGCCGCCATACCAACGAAAGAAAGAACGAAAGAACGAACGAACGAACGAACGAACGAACGAACGAGAACCTAACCTAACCTAACCTGACCTGACCTGACCTGACCTGACCTAACCTAACCTAACCTAACCAAACCCCAAACCCCAAACCCCAAACCCCACTCCAAAAAACCCTACCCAAAGCAAAAAGAAAAAGAAGGTGGTGTGGCTGTGAGACGAGCCGGGCCGCGGAGAGGGCGCCACTCTCGGACGCGATCCCACCTGCCGCTCGCCACGGGGACTTTTGGCTGCTGAGCGGATGCCCCCTGACCCGGTTCGCCCCTCCTTAGCGAAACCTGGCCTCCAGACCGGACTCCTCCGGGGAGGCCATGTTGATGGCGAGCCCAGTGCGGACGTCCAGGTCACCATGGAGCCCAAGCCGCGGTTGCACCCCGGCCCGCCGCCATCCTCACCTTCCAGCCTCCGGGTCGCCGGATTACAGGGGTTTTGGGCCCCCAGCCCCAGCTGAGCGGGCGTCGCGTCCCGGATCGCCTCCGTTCCGCCGCCACACCGGCCCGCTTTTCATTCCGTTGCATCTCTCTCTTTCTCTTTCCATTCACCAATTTGTGTCTGTCTTCCTCGTGCGGCGCCATGGAGGCAGCGTGGCCGAGGGTCTAAGGCGCCCGGGTTTTAAAGGGACCGGTCTCATCGAGGCGTGGGTTCGAATCCCACCGCTGTCATTATGGTATTCTTTTTATTCCTCCCAAACGAATGGATCAACACGTTGGAAAAGTTTTCTGGTTTTTCCCAGGAAGCCTGTGTGGTGGTAAAGACAATAGCAAAGTTTCTGGGAAAACCGGGAACCTGTTTACCTTATTACCGCGAACCCTTCCCACTGCAACCATGCATCCATCCTGCAGTGCCTGCTGGGGTGCCCAAGTGCATTGGTGCTCTTCCTCGCTACTTGTAGTGGCACTACGGCTCCGTCCCCGCACCATCCCCAGAGACCGGCTAGCTCAGTCGGTAGAGCATTGGACTTTTAATCCAAGGGTCGTGGGTTCGAGTCCCCCGTCGGGCGTCTGTCTTTTGCGTGTTTTTGTCCGTTTTCGCGTCACCAGGCGACAAAGTTGGACCATTTCGATTCGAGATGGGCCGAGCGGGCACCAGGGCGGTGCGGGGAGCCAGGTGCAACCCGCCGCTTGCAGGCAGGCGCAGGTCAGGAAAGAGAGAGCGACTAGTGCGTGGCGCGAAGCTCCGGCTTTCGCCAACGACCATGCCACGCTGGGTCCACCGGTTCCCTTCCGCACACCGAAGTTAAGCAGCGTTGGGTGCGGTCAGTACTTGGATGGGTGACCGCCTGGGAACACCGCATGCCGTTGGCATCTTTTTGGGCCAATTTTTTTTGGCCTCGCACTGTCTGTGTGGCGCGCGGGCGGAGCGCCTGCGAGTAAGGGCCCGGGATCGGACCGCCCTGCCCTGCGCGTTGCCTATGCCGCAGTTCACAGGCGCTCTGCGGTGGAGCGCGACGCCACGGGAGGCAAGTCGAAGGAGAGGGGAAGTCGAAGGAGAGGCAAGTGGAACGAGAGGCAAGTCGAAGGAAGTGTCCTCCGTGCCCGCCCCCTCTCCCTCACACCACTCTTGTCCCATGCGGGGGGTGTTTGAGGGCCGGACAGGGCCCCGAAAGCAGTGTTCGGTATAAGCCCACAGGCGTTCCCAGGACCAAATCTCTCTCTCCGTCGTCGGTTTTCCCGGGGGGGTAGTCAAATGGTAGAGCGCTCGCTTCGCATGTGAGAGGCACGGGGATCGACGCCCCGCCCTCCATCAAAAAGGTCCACTTTTTTTGGATCCGTGTCGCCCCGACAGGGCTGTCGAGCACCACCAGCTCCGCAGATGTCAAGTTTTTAGCACGACGGCGTCGGGCCCCGCACTGTCGTGTGGGTCCCTTGGTCTAGGGGGATGATTCTCCCTCGGGTGCGAGAGGTCCCCGGGGTTTAAATCCCGGACGGACCCTTTCGACGCGCCTTACTCCCGCCCAGAGGTTCGTTTTCTGCTTTTGCTGTTCTTTTCCAAAACTCGTTGTTCCGAGGAGCGTGTCTGGCCAGGCGGTCCCATGGGGGTAATGGTGAGCACTCTGGACTTTGAATCCAGCGATCCGAGTTCAAATCTCGGTGGGACCTGACTCCCCACAGCCTCCTTTTTTTTTTTAGACGGAGCGCGAGAAAAAAAAAAAGGAAAACATAAAATAGCGGAGAGAAAAGGGATGGATTGTCAGGTGTGGGGTTCGAACCCACGACCCCAGACGGGGATCAGAGCTTAAATCTGACGCCTTAGACCACTCGGCCAACCTGACACTCGTTGTTGGATCTGGCAGGCCCGCGACTCGTCAAAAGAGCAGGGTCGAGCGTCCACCCAATTTTTGGGAGCACCGATGGCGGATGCCGTGCGGCAAGAATGCGCGAGCGCCACCCATTTGGGATGAGTTTGAGCCCCCGCAGTTTTGGGGGTATAGCTCAGTGGTAGAGCATTCGACTGCAGATCGAGAGGTCCCCGGTTCAAACCCGGGGGCCCCCTGGCTTGCGGAGGCTCCGTCTCCCTTCCTCTTTTTGGGGGATGCTGGAATGCACGGCGGAATGCACGGCGGCGTGCGCGCAGAACACCCCGTCCGGTGGTGCCCCCTGGCGACCTCGTGTCGCTCGAGGCTCGAGGCCCCGAACTGGAAGCGGCGGCTAGGGATGGGCACTTTATGCAAATAAAAACACCCAATTATGCGGTAAAATTTTGTGCTATTATGCGGGACTTATGCGACTAAAATGGCCCAAAAATGCGCTTTTTATGCGCAAAAAAAAACCCTTTTTTTCTGCAAAAAAAGCAAAAAAAGAAGGGGAAAAAAGGGGCAAAAATTGAAAAAAAAGGGGAAAAAAGCATGAAAAGGGGTTTAATTTTTTAAAAACACCAAAATGGTCACAGTCTGAATTTTATCGTGAATATATTAGGAACTTCGATCGTGGGAACGCAACGAGCCAAAACCCCCTCCACTGACAACCTGCACCGCGGGGAAAAATTCAAATTTTAACTTGTGTTTCTGCTTTAAAACTTCTAAAAACACGATAACCGACCAAAAGAAATAATCCTAGGAATCAATTATAACAGCAAAATGCACTTTTTGGGTTCAAAATGTGAATTATGCGAGAAAAATGCGTGAATTATGCGCATTATGCGTAAATGGCCAATTATGCGACCATTATGCGATTTATAAATGTGACAGGCAATGCACGCGGACTCCAAACATATCAAAATTTTTTCATTTGCAATAAGTTTAGAAATTATGCAAAATATGCGCTTGCATATAGTGCCCATCCCTAGCGGCGGCAGCAGGGACGAGTGCCGTCGCGAAACACGTCAAGGTCCCTGTAGCGCAGACGATAGCGCGTCGGACCTCTAATCCGAAGGTCGCGGGTTCGATCCCCGCCAGGGATGGGGCGATCGTGACGTGACGCCGAGACGCGCGAGACGACATTTTTATTTGGTACGATTTCCTCTGCCTGAGGTCACCGAAGTCGTCGTCGTCACTTTGCCTGGCCACCCTCGTTGTCTGATTTCTCCTTGTTTTTTTATTTCCCCCCTGCTCGCCAACAATGGACCGCTCCTGACTTGACAGCAGCAGCAGCAGCAGCCGTGGCCGAGCGGTTAAGGCGACTGACTTGAAGATGGTCTCTCAGGACTCCCCACCCCCTCAACGGTCAATGTATTTTCCTGAAAGAAAACAACTAAGGCACCTGCTTTCTCACCAGGTTTTGGAACGGGAAACAACACTAAGCAACGACTCGTCTGGCGACGGGGAAGCCCCGGGCTTCACAATGGTAAGCCAGGTGAGCTCGAACTGCGTACGCGTACTTGCTTGGTGCCTCGCAGAGAGGCCTCGTTAGGCCTGGGCGATTAATCGAATAATCGAAAATAATCGCGATTATTTTGTTAATCGTCCGATTATTTTAAACCCCCGATTAGTGGTTCGGTAATCGAAGGATTGACCGATTATTTAACGATGATCGATCATCGATTAATCGTCTCATTATCGGATATTCTATCCATCACCTGTTCAAATTCTGAGCGGAAAAGTCTTGAAAAGTTTTCAGTTAAGGCACGAAAAAGCTGTCGCAGACACTCGAGGTTGCGCCAATGGTTTTCCTATCCTCTTATTACATGCTATTTTCACAATAGTACGAGTATTAACCTTTGTTTGTCGATTTCCAAATAATCGGTTTCCCCCGATTAATCGTTGATTTTCGATTAATCGTGTACGTTTTCGATTACCGATTACCGAACTGCTAATCGACACCAATCGCGATTATTTTATTCATCGGCCGATTACGATTACAACCAATAATCGCCCAGGCCTAGGCCTCGTTGCGAAGGATGTCTCTCTCGCACTCATTGGGGCGTCCAGCGCCGAAACGGGCTGACTGTTTCCGTTTGCACGCCTTGCAGGTCCAGGCGGCGGTCGACTCGGAGGACGGCGTCGACGGCGAGAGTCACCCCGTGGCGGCCCACCCGTCGTCGCTCACCGAGGGGCCCCTGGGGGAGGACGGCCCCTCGCTGGAGACGCAGCACGCCAGGCACGCAGGGGCGGCCCAAGGAATGGTGAACCGGGTGGACCTCTCACCGCCGCCCAAGCGGCAGTCGGCTGCGACCCGAAGGGCGACCACACGCCCGGGTAGGGGCGTCCGAGTGTAAGTGCATCACGCCAGGTGCCGTCAGGGAATTCCCTCGGGAAGGTGTCTGTCCGCCCCTGAGGGCGTGCGTGTGTGTAGTTTGAAGTAAGTCAAAGAGCCAAATTGTCTATCTCTTGATGCGATTGCAGGCTGAATAGGCCGCGAGCCACCACGCCAGGCAGCCTGGGTTCCAGTGCTGGCTCAGCCAGCCTCATGAGTCTCGCTAATGGAAGCCTGAGCTCCTCCCTGGGGAACTCAACAGCTTCGCTCTTTGCGGACACTCTGCCTGGATTCGACAACCCTCGAGAGGCTCTGAATCACGGTCTCCAGCAACTGGATTCCATAGAGTGGTATGTTTGCTATTTTATTTCTCCCACCGAGTTGAACTTTGGTTCAATTAAATAAATGTCAACCAAAAAAAAAAAAAAAAAAAAATTTGAGCTTTGTTTTATTTAGGGAAGTGACAATGCAGGCAGTTCAAACAATAGTTCGACTTGTGCGACATCATCCAGCCATATTGCAAGGACAATTGCACACCTGCTGTGAGTCCCTTGCACGCCAAGTGAAGAATTTAAGATCTCAAGTTGCAAGGGCTGCCTGCCAAACAGCCAGTCATTTATTCCACACGCTGAAACGTGGGATGGATCCTGTAAGTAACCATTTGAATTTATTTGTCGAATCTAGAAATTTGGTTAGTAGTTTAAGTCTACATAGACTGTTGTTGCTCACAGGAAGCAGAGGACCTATCTACAGCTCTCTTCAACCGCACTACAGATACCAATAAGTTCTTGAGAGCTGATGCAAACTCTGCATTAGATGTTATGACTGACAATGTTTCTCCTGCAAAGGCAGTGTCAGCAGTTGTACACAAAGGCTGCAGGTATGTAGAATCAGTTGTTCAAGCAGCTAACAATATTAATGTGACAGTCAGGTACACCTAAAGGTCAAATGCTAATTGTTCAAAGGAAGGTAAAAGAAACATCTGAGTTTTTTCGTTTCTTTCTCATATAGTATTTTCTGTAGTAACAGGACAAACAAGAACACAGTACGTGCAATAACCAAGACAAAACAAAAGTAATCAATATTTTGCATAAAATCCTAGGTGAATCAACTAGTTAAAAATTGATGCTTTACTACATCTTTCAGAGATAGTGCTGTTGACTATCAAAATAAGCAATTATTTTTAATAGTAACAAAACAGTACAAAAATATGATATAAGTAATGCTCTCTTTATAAATCAACTAAATGCCAACCAAAGAACAGGGGGGGTGGGCATTAAGTTAATCTTATCAGTAAACATGATCCGAAATAAAAATCTAGTAAGAGAAAAAAAAAAATAGAATGTAGACAGGCTCCTTACATCTACAGAGTAGTTATAACATTTACACTAGTTCTCACACCTTTCAGCTTTTTATGTCATGAACAATTATTGTTTTGCCCCATAATAGCTGTCAGGATTTAGTGACAAAAATTATCTGCATAAAATTGTAAACAGGTTAAGAAAACTGTTGTTAGTTTATCACATTGACTATGACTAAAGTACTCTCTCTAAATTATAAAACTATAAGACTAATACACTACAAAAAACAAGATAACAAGAAACCGCTCTTGAGTGGTTCGTGACAGAAATTGGAGGTGTGACCGAACTCCGAGCATCGCATGCAAGCCACGACCTTGCTAGAGCGCCGTTTCTCGACCTTCACGCGAAGATGACATACGTGTTTCAGTTCGAGAAGAGACTTTGACCCCGGCTTGGCGGCAATGCTCACTGTTGGGCTCGGTTTCCCATCCTTCATGAACCTGTGGACCCCCTCCACCTGGAAGCCCTGTTTTTTGAGGTCTGCCTCTATGTCCTCGACGGAGAGGGTGGGGTGGACGCCTTTGGCAATGACCTGGCTCAGCTTTTCCCCAGGGATTTGGAAGGTGTGCCAGCCGACATCCCCCTTCTCCTCCAAGACCGTCTTGACTGCCTCGTAGTCCTCTGCCTTCTTGGTGAGGACCACCATCCCGGCCCCCCGGGTTTGACACTCGAACCTACCGCCGGTGGCCTTGGCCAGTCCGTCGGACAGAGACATAAAGTTCTGGATCTTGGACACAACCACCGGCGGCATTTTGGCCTTCTTGGGCCTGTCAATCCGGGGGTCGGCCCGCGTGGCCTGTCCCTTGTTTCCCCCGGACGCCTGGCTCACGGGAGGGACCGTGGGGGCCCCTGCGGCTTGAGCCCCAGTCGCCTGTTCCCCCTTTGTGGAGGCCTTTACGCTCTCTGCCAGTGTGTGCGGGGCATGCACCTGGGTGGTCTTGGCGGGTTTGGAGGCACTGGCTGAAGGTTGCCCCTTGCCTCCTCCCTGACGGGAAGTACCCTCCCCCTTGTGTTGCTTTTTTGTGTACACCTTTGCCTTAGGGGCCGTGGTGGGCTCCTGGGACGAGGGGATGACCGCCTCGTCCTCGGTGGAGTCCCACTCGCCCAAGATCATCTTGGCTTGAGCTGCCTGAGCTGCCTTGAACTTACTGGAGAAGCTGTTGTCTGACCACTCGCTCTTCGCTTCCGAGATTACCACTTCCATGTCCGTTTGCCCCTCGGTCTCCTCCTGGGTCTCCGAACAGGAGATTTCCTGGGAGGGTCTACTCGAGGGATCGACTATGGGGTGAGGGGGTCCTGCCTTGAATGAGGCGACTAGTTCGTTAGACAGCTCCCTCACGTGGTTCTTGATCACGTCTGTCTCCCCGGTGGGGAGGTTAAGGGGCGAGCAGATGCGTTTGAACAGCGGTGTTTTGATGGGGACTTTGCCCTTGCCCTTGCCCTTGCCCTTGCCCTTGCCAGCCTTGCCCCCCGCTGGCTTGACCACTCCCTGGGGGATGGACTGATACTTCGCCGGGCCCTCGGCCGGAGGCGGCGCGAGGAAGGGCCCTTCACCCTGCCCGTGAAGAGGGGCCTGACTGGGTGCATGGGGTGCCGGTGCAGTGCCTGAGTGGGCCCCACTGCCGCCCTCGATCAGCTGGGTGAGCCCAGCAGTGTCGAGACTCAGCCAGTACCCTGGGTCCAAGAGCCCCCCCGGCACGATCTGGGCGGAACAGATTGGCCGCCCTGACATGACGGTGGAGCTGCTGCAGACCGGTGTGGCAGTCGTCGCCACCGTCGTCGTGACGGTGGTGACGCAGCTCGACACCGCGACTGGCAGCTCCACATTGCCGAAACGGCACGTCATGTCAGGGGTTAGATGGTTAAGGGTTTGGAGGCCTGTCCCGCCTGGGTCGTGTCCCGGCAGGGGAGGAGGCAACCCGTCCATACCCGAGCAGTTTGGCGGCTCGGGCACAGACAGGCGAGACAAACACTCCTGGTGTAGTGGCACCGAAATGGTGCTGGGCGTACCCGTTAGTGAGTGGGGAGAGCCCCGGTCTTACGGAAAGACGTGTAAATACCCCTCCCAGCTACCCAAACCAGCGTCGGTTGAGACCCGCAACCAGCGAGAATGGTTTTGCCACGAAACCACGACAAGGTTTGACCGCGAGGGGAGTGCCTGGAGGAGGCCAACGCAATAGCTTACTAACCTGCGAGGTTTGACACGCGTAATCAGGTGCCCAGAGGGGGCCGGCCTGGACTAAAGAACAAGGGAGCCCTCCTCATTAGTACGGCACGCGGGCCTGAATTCGCGAGAAAAACCTTTCTGCAGCGTTAGTCTACTACGCTAGGGCCACAGAAGAGCTTCCAATCGAGAGGAGGGTGTCTGAACTTCTGCCGAAACAGAAGAGAGAGTGAAGTAATACCTCGAGAAAATTCCGAATAAATCCATGCACACAAAAGTGAACGTGAAAATACTACAGAAGGGATTCTGTGAAGTATAAGTCTTAAAGCGTGGGGCCTGGCGCGCCGTCTACTTGGGCGGCGACGTACTGCTGACTATGAGGGCGAGCTTGACGGGCGGCAGGAGGGCACGCACGCCATCTGTCTCCGAGTGTGGATGACGCGCGAACCATGAGAAATGGAGCGCACCTCGCGGGGGCGGGGTGCGTCGAAATGGAATGCTATGATGCGGTCCATGGGGGATGTACGTCGTAAGCCCCTGTGGCCTAATGGATAAGGCACCGGCCTCCTAAGCCGGGGATTGAGGGTTCGAGTCCCTCCAGGGGTATAAAGTGTGAAAACTATGCGACTATTTTGCGTCATCTCGCGTTTTTGTCTTTCGCCATCTGTGCAATGGAAAAAAAAAAAGAGAGAGCGGTCAAGGGGTCAGGGTCAAAAGATTGATGTCAGAAGTGGGATTCGAACCCACGCCTTCATTCGAAGACCAGAACACTCTGTCACACACCCGGTTACTGAAGCCGGGCAAGGGTCGTTTGTTCCCCTTGAGTCTGGCGCCTTAGACCGCTCGGCCATCCTGACAAGCATGCTGCTGGCACGCCGCAACGGCCACCTCACTTTCCACTCAGGTGAGGGAGGGGTCGGGTCAGGTCATGTCTGTCCGTCATCCATCGTGCAGACACGCCAAAATTATAGCAGAGCAAGGTTTCGATCCTCGGACCTCTGGGTTATGGGCCCAGCACGCTTCCACTGCGCCACTCTGCTCCTTGCACCGACGCGTCGCACTGACTGCTCCCACCTTTACTGCTTCTTAGTAGCAGCATCTTGTGCCCTCATCACGCCATCAGCAGGAGGTTCCGTGGTGTAGTGGTCATCACGTCTGCTTTACACGCAGAAGGTCCCCAGTTCGACCCTGGGCGGAATCAATCCACTCCTTTTTTTTCACAGACATTTCATTTCATTTCATTTTTTTACTTCATTTTCTCTCTCAAATCACCCAACACACCCACACCACTGCCACACTGCCAAAGTGCCAAAGTGCATAAGTGCACTTGACGCACTTCACGCCGCTGAACGCCCTTTACGCCCTATCCCCTTCGGGGGCCCTACCCCGACTCGGACCGCAACCTCCTTGCTCGGGACGCGGGACGCGGGCTGGCTATGCGCTACGCCGCGTAGGCCTGGGCGATTATTGGTTGTAATCGTAATCGGCCGATGAATAAAATAATCGCGATTGGTGTCGATTAGCAGTTCGGTAATCGGTAATCGAAAACGTACACGATTAATCGAAAATCAACGATTAATCGGGGGAAACCGATTATTTGGAAATCGACAAACAAAGGTTAATACTCGTACTATTGTGAAAATAGCATGTAATAAGAGGATAGGAAAACCATTGGCGCAACCTCGAGTGTCTGCGACAGCTTTTTCGTGCCTTAACTGAAAACTTTTCAAGACTTTTCCGCTCAGAATTTGAACAGGTGATGGATAGAATATCCGATAATGAGACGATTAATCGATGATCGATCATCGTTAAATAATCGGTCAATCCTTCGATTACCGAACCACTAATCGGGGGTTTAAAATAATCGGACGATTAACAAAATAATCGCGATTATTTTCGATTATTCGATTAATCGCCCAGGCCTAACGCCGCGCATGCACGCGCAGTGCTATGGACCGCTCCTATCGCCCCACTCGGTCAGCAGTCGTGGCCGAGTGGTTAAGGCGACTGACTAGAAATCAGTTTCCCTCTGGGAGCGTAGGTTCGAGTCCTACCGACTGCGTCATCTTTTGATTAATTTTAGTCCCGCGCTACCGCGCAGGCCCCATTCCCGATTCAACGGTCGGCAAACTCTTCGTGGCGGGGGTGTAGCTCAAATGGTAGAGCGCTCGCTTTGCATGTGAGAGGCACGGGGTTCGATCCCCCGCACCTCCACGTCACCTTTTGGCCTACCTTCAAACGCGGACAGATGGATGGTATTGTCGAGGGGTGAATCACTCAGCGTTCTGGTGTACACATGAGTACATGAGTACGGGTGAGTACACCTTGCTTTACTCATAAATTTCACAATTTTAAACGTTGTGAGGCTTTATTTAGCGTTTTTAACGGCACTCAACGTTAAATCGGTCGAAAAAGTAGTACATTTTCCCCTTTTTAAACTTGTGAGTACACTGAGTACGGGCAAATTTGTACACATGAGTACACTAGTGATTCACCCCTCGGGTATTGTTCGGCTTTCAGCAAGTGATTCCATTTTTCAATTTGACGCGCCGTACGCAAAGGGACGACGCGACCGGTTATACACCCACACTCGGCCTCGCTTCACCTGTTCGCCACGGCCGGAGGGCATGCCGCACGGGAGCTATACGCTTCCCAGCGGCCGCCGGCCAGGTCGCCTGTCAACGTAGGCCACATCTCCGCGCTCCACACACAGGCGTCATCTCGTTGCCTACCTACAAGGGGCTCCGCCGACGCGCCTCCCCAGAGCCGTCAGACTCGCGGCGTGCCGCTGCTCTTCTTGTAGCCTCGCGAATCATGCACAGACACAAGCCCGGCTAGCTCAGTCGGTAGAGCATGGGACTCTTAATCCCAGGGTCGTGGGTTCGAGCCCCACGTTGGGCGTTCTCTTTTCTGCGTAATCTATCCGCCGCCCTCCTCCTTTGTACAGTGTATCGGGTCTGCCGCTCGTCTCCGCAGCACAGTCCGGTATGGTCTAGTGGCTAGGATACCTGGCTCTCACCCAGGAGGCTCGGGTTCGATTCCCGGTACCGGAACTCTTTTGCCCGAGCTCAGTGATGCAGCGATTCCCCCTTGAGTGGGATTGAGCGAGGTCTCGCACAGTACCATGTGACGAGGTGGCCGAGTGGTTAAGGCGTTGGACTGCTAATCCAATGGGCTCTGCCCGCGTGAGTTCGAATCTCATCCTCGTCGTCCCGCTCTCTTTTGTATCCGTTTGTTCTTTTGTTTTGCCTCGCCTCGTCGGTGCAGCAGCATGTCAAGCGGCGAGCGAGGCCCGCAAGGTCACGCGGTCCCATGGTGTAATGGTTAGCACTCAGGACTCTGAATCCTGCGATCCGAGTTCAAATCTCGGTGGGACCTGTACTTTTGACGTCACGCGCGATCGCACACCCATCTGGCGAGGCACGCCATCATTAAGGGCAGCCTGAGAACCCGTCGCCAAGCCGCCTCCATAGCTCAGTGGTTAGAGCACCAACCCAGCACCTCCTGGGTTGGGCTCGAGTTCAACTCCAAGAGTGCGCCACCCTGGCCATGCACCGCAGCAAGGCCGTGAAGGCCGTCACCACCATCCAGGGCCAGCCCATCAAGGACCTGCAGGCCGGCGACGCTTACCAGCACCTCGGAGTCCCCACGGGGCTGTACGTCAACCAGACTCCCGAGGACACCATCAAGTCCATGCTGCAGGACCTCGCCGCCGTCAAGGACTCCCTCTTGGCTCCTTGGCAGAAGCTCGACGCCGTGCGCACGTTCATCCTGCCGCAGGCCCAGTTCGTGCTGCAGACCGCCCGCATCCAGAAGACAGCCTTCCAGGACCTGGACAAGGCCATCAAGAGCGCGGCCAAGCAGTTTCTCCATCTGCCTGACCGAGCGAGCAACGAGATCATCTACATCCCCTGCCGCCAGGGCGGAGCCAACCTCCTGCCCCTCAGCGAGCTCGCCGACGTGGGCGCCGTCCAGAAGGCCTTCAAGATCCTCACCTCACCCGACCCGCTCGTCCGTGAAGTCGGTCTCGCTGGCGTCTCGCGTGCCGCCGCTCGCCTGATCGGCCGTGAGCCCTCCCACGCCGAGCTGGCGGCCTACCTGTCCGGCGCCGAGTTCAGGAGCAGGCCCAACTCGTTCGCCACCGTGTGGAGCGCGGCCAGGAACGCGACGCGCCGCCTCGACAAGAAGCTGGGCGGGCTGTCCTGGTCTTGGAGCGAGACGCTGCAGCGCTTCGCCCTGGAGGTCGCCATGCCGGGCCGCGAGCCCAACAAGACCGTCGTCGACGCCGCGTCTAGGTCGCGCGTCTCCGCCGTGCTGCGCGACGGCCTCCAGCACCACCATCTGCGCACGCTCACGGCCAAGCCCGACCAGGGCAAGGTCTTCGACGCGTGCAGCGCCCAGCCCGCCTCCAACCACTTCCTGGCGTCCGGCCACCTGACCAGGTTCTGCGACTGGCGCTTCATCCACCGCGCCAGGCTCGGCGTGCTGCCCCTCAACGGGGCCCTGCGCATCCCCGGCCGGAGCCGCGCGTGCCGCCGCTGCCAGTACGCCGACGAGACGACGGCGCACGTGCTGGACCACTGCCTCGGCCAGGGCAAGTCGCGGGCCTGGAACAACCGCCACCGCTCTGTCATCGGCCACCTCCTGGAGGCCATGCCGGACCACGTCAGGGAGCACCTGCGCGTCGAGAGGGCAGTCCCGGGCACCGACTCCGCCTTGAAGCCCGACCTCGTTCTGCTCAACGCCGGCACCAAGTCGGCGGCCATCATCGACGTCACATGCCCGTTCGAGAACCGGCGCCAGGCCCTGGCGGTGGCGAGCGAGGCCAAGATGACCAAGTACGCCGGCCTCCAGGACGCCCTCCGCCAGCAGGGCTTCACGTGCAGCATGGGCGTCGTCGCCGTGGGGGCCCTGGGGACGTGGGATGCTAACAACGAGTACGCCCTCAGTCTCCTCGGCATCCCGGCCCGCGAGCGGCGCCAACTCCGCCCCCGCATCGTGAGTGACGTCATTCGGTGGTCGCGCAATATCTACGTGGAGCACATGTGCGGCCACCGGCAGTACTCGTCTGACGTCGTACTGCCCGAGCTAAGTTCGAACTAATTACTCCTTACCACCGCCCTGTGCCGCTCGCCTTTCCTTAGCTGTCTGTCTGTGCTGTTCCAGGGACCGAGAAGCCGCGCTACCCCAGGTCTCTGGGCAGCCAGCAGCAGCAAGGAGTATCGCCCGCCCCGCGCGGCCCCTCTCCGCACGGTCATACCCCACGCCTCACCACTCCGGGGCGGGGAGTAACGACAACGCTGCGGGCCGGCGAGCCCGACGTCACTGCGCGCCGGGGTATCGGCAGTGGAAGATCGCCGCGCGGAGTAGCGCCGCCCTCTCAAGCGAGCGCCCAACTCACCCGAAACTAGTTATGTTCTGGTGTTTTTAACTTTCTACTATTACCTTGTATTAACTTCCTTTTACTATCTTATTATTTTGACTATTGTGAGCCAACAAGGCAGTCCTAATCTCCACTCCGCTTTATTTCTTTGTGTTGCAGGGACCGAGTTCTACATAACCTCTCGTCCCTGCACACACCGGAGTTCTGTTAATCGTCAACCCTCTTTAATTCTTTACTAAGTTCATTTTAATTTTTTTAATTTTCGCTTCAACTGTAACTAGTTTTAACTTCCCAAGCTTCACTTAAGCTGTAATTTTTATTTCTATCCTTTTACTGATTATCAACCTAATGTCTTTTAAGTTAAATTCTAAATAGCACTGACACAAGAACGTGCTACATCATACGTTTTCTCTACAATCACTATTTCTTTTGTACTATTTATGTTCAATAAACAAGATATCAAACTGGGGGTCGAGAGTTCGATTCTCTCTGGAGGCAGGACTTGTCATTTTTTGCGGCCTCGCCCCGAGAAAGCGACACCGTATTGCTCCTTGTCCCGTGTAATCAAAGAGCGGCGCACAGCGAGGTCCGTTGGTCTAGGGGTATGATTCTCGCTTAGGGTGCGAGAGGTCCCGGGTTCAAATCCCGGACGGACCCTATTTTTATTTTTTTTGTAATTTATGATTATTTGACAGCGTCACCATTCTGACTAAAGAAGAAATAAATAAAAAGGAACCTCTCCGGCGGGGAATCGAAACCCGGTCTCCCGCGTGACAGGCGGGGATACTGACCACCGCCGGCCGCCGTCTTGCTGCAAGGATGCCTGGCTTCGGCTGGACTTGGGACGACGCCGGCCCTCACATCCACATCCCCTGCCCCGGCAAGGACCCCGTGACCGTGTCCGCGGCCACCCGCAAGGACCTCCACCACCAGCTCCGCCAGGCCCTGCAGCACCACCACCTGCTGGTCCTCACTTCCAAGCTGGACCAGGGCAAGGTGTTCGAAGCGTCCAGTCGTCATGCAGCGTCCAACCACTTCATGCGGGGCGGCCAGTACACCAGGTTTTGCGACTGGCGCTTCATGCACAGGGCTCGGCTTGGAGTGCTCCCGCTCCGAGGCTGCATCAGGGTACCGGACATTGACACCAGGTGCCGCGTCTGTGGGTACCCGAAGGAAACAACGGCTCACGTCCTCTGCCATTGCATGAAACATAGTGCGGCGTCCAACAACCGTCACCGGTCAGTGCTCAAACATGTCATCGAAGCCATGCCGTCCACCCAAAACCTTCGCGTCGAGAGGACCGTCCCGGGCTCGGGCAGCCTGGACAAGCCCGACTTGGTCCTCTTGGACGAGGCCGCGATGACGGCGGCGATTATCGACGTAGCGTGCCCCTTCGACAACAAGTACCAAGCCTTCCAGGCCAAGAGGGCCGAGAAGACCACCAAGTATGAGCACCTCGCCCTCCACCTCCAGCAGCGGGGCTTCAGTGTGGCCACCGACGCCCTGCTGGTCGGCGCGCTGGGCACCTGGGACCCGGAGAACGAGGGCGCCTTGAACATGCTCGGCATCCCAACCGCCGCCCGGGCCAAGCTGCGCCGACTCGCCGTCTCAGATGTCCTCCGCTGGTCGCGGGACATCTATGTCGAACATGTCAGCGGCGTTAGGCAGTACAAGACTTCGGTCCAACTGCCTGCGTAGCTGCACTCATCTAGTTAAGTTTTAGTCTTCTAATTTTATTTTATTTTGTGCAGTAACTCGTTAATGCCTCATTCTCACAGTATTTTCTAATGCTAGTTGCTATATTTTTAGGCTGGTAATAATAATTCTTAATTTATTGCAGCTTTCTGCTTTAATTGATATGTATCTACCGTCATTTCTAATTCTTACCTTTTTTTAAATGTAAAATACTGTTTTGTCACCATTATGTTCTCTGAGTCCCGTGTGGTATGTTGCAGGTCCATCGTCGCTGACTGGGTTGCTCCTTTTTCAGGAGAGGGGCAGCCCACCAGTGACTCCAGGCCTGCCAACTGCCACCCGGGACTCCACTCTTCAAGTAACTTCAAGTTAATCAACCACGATGTGCTCAAAACTCCAGTATTTCTATAACTAAAATTTTTACTTTTTCGTAAAGACAAGTTGTAAAGTATAGTGACAGGGAAATAAAAACTTTAAGTTTAGACAACCTGTCACTATACTATTTTATTCTTTTAAGTTCTCAATGAGTACTCTGCTTATTAATGGCATCAATTTTTATCACTATCTTCACACTATGTTAAACAATCATGTGCAATAAATGCTTATAAAACCGAAGATGCGGCCTGGCGGGACCCGTCTCGCCACGCATCACACTTGACAGATTGGCGACAAACGGACGCGAAAAGTGGAGGTGCGGGGTATCGATCCCCGTACTTCTCGCATGCTAAGCGAGCGCTCTACCATCTGAGCTACACCCCCTCACATGTGCGGGACGGCCGCCGCTGCTCTTGTCTTCTGACAACACGGCGCAGCCATGACTTGA